CATCGAGTTGCTCCATCACCGGCTTGAGCATATCAGCTAACATTTTCATGATGTCTGCTCCCTCTTCCGGGTTTGGGCTCTGACTACCCACCGGTTTAACTTTAAACTTTCTTTGAGAGGCCGCCATTTTATACGATTATTTACAATTTCAAACCGCTTCTCTCTGACTCGAAAAATCGCCACCTCGATGTCAGCGCTCAAGTAAGTCTCTCAAAACAAAATCGCTGCTTATTTCCCCCCCTGCCCCCTTTGTTACGCTTTTCTGTCCGTTCGCGTAAGAGGCGTCCCTCTACCCCGCTTTTCCCCCCGGGGGGGGGGGTTAGTTCGCTTTTAAAACATTCTGCTTATTTTGAACTCACGTTCATTGTCGGTCATTTCTTTGACCTCGAATCTGACTCCAGGGGATGGTGCTCATCTCCGTTTCTAAGCCGAAGAGCCAGCGCTGTCCGAAGATGCTTCCGTGGTCATGTGGCCGGCATGACTGAACGCTGAGGTGCACGGAATGCTGTTACCTTCCCACCAAAGGGGTACCTATTTATCTACTTGCAATTTCTTGCTTTCGAACTGTTACATTGGCAAGAGCTGGAGACGGGAGCTCACTCCGTCACGTGGCACTAGGGTCTCAAACTGCCAAGCTACGACCTTCTGGTCTGCAGCTCAGCTTCTTAACCTCTGAGCCACCCCAGCAAATGGAAGACAGAGACAGACAAATGTCCCTAGGGAAAGGAATTCCATCATTTAGTGTCATGACCCAGAAGGCCCTCAGGTTGCCTCTTGTCTGTATCAGATGGTGGGGGCACTTGAAGCATGGCCTTTGAAGGTGCCTGGCAGGTCCCACTCCAAAACATTTCTCTTTACTCAGGATTTTAATGTTAAAGGGTCCAACTTTTGTAGCTGTTTTATGGCCTGCTGCTAGCCTGAGAGTTACTCTTAGGAATGCTGTTTTTGACTTCTCACTATTGTTTTAATGTTGCTTTTATGTCCCTATCGGGCTTTGGGCTTGTTTTGATTTCTTTAAACACCGATGATCTTTGTGTCGATTTTTAATCATTTTATTGCTGTATTGTTCTTACCTTGCAAGCTGCCTTGAGCATGTTTCTGAAGAATGCATTTTCCAAACAAACTGAAGGAATATACACGTTATTTCCCGAACAAATTAAATAAATAAAAGGAAAGCAAGGCCTGGCCTCCACCACCTTACCGTTAATTACTTCCTGGCGTTTGATCTCATAGGGTTTCAGGCTGAGCAGCACCTCCCGGCTCACCAACTGCTGCCAGTTGGGCAGGTCTGTCTCTAGGTCAATGTCAAACAGCTCATCTTCACTCTGGGTATCTCCAGCGCCCACGCTCTCCATCCTAAGGGGGGGGACACACACACCATCTTTTACATGTAGGAAGGGACTTCAGGGTAGGGTGAAGAAGGAAACGGTTTGGCAACAAAACGATATGGGGGAGTGCCGTCTACAAAGCTGGCCTTACGGGTACGTGGCTCTTCCAGGGAACTGCTGAGTTTCTGGAGAAGGCCTTTATTGTCATCGCCTCAGTGGTTTCCTTGTAAATATTTGGTAAAAATGAGTCAGTGGCTTATCTAAGGTAACAGCGTAAGTCAACAAAAAGAGGAAGGGACCTCTGCAGTCAGCGACAACATCCAGATGTCCGGGGGGGGGGGGGGAAACAACAGGGCTTCCCCATCCATTTTAAAGTAGGACTGATGCTATCATCAGCACTGTGCACTCAGAGATCAACAGAAGGGGGGGGGGGGAGAAACAAAAGGGCTTCCCAATCCATCCATTTTAAAGTAGGACTGATGCTATCATCAGCACTGTGCACTCAGAGATCAACAGAAATGAGATCTGAGCAGCCTGAGAACGGTTTGCCCTGCACTGTACTTTGGTAAAGAAGCATAACTTTGCATTAATTTGACAGGATTTGTGGCTCTCCCTGTCTGGAGGGCACAAGAGCGTTCAGCTACGAGCAAAGAAGTTTTGGTTCAGCACACTGAGACTGAGCAGCCTGAGAACGGTTTGCCCTGCACTGTACTTTGGTAAAGAAGCATAACTTTGCATTAATTTGACAGGATTTGTGGCTCTTCTTGTCTGGAGGGCACAAGAGCATTCAGCTACGAGCAAAGAAGTTTTGGTTCAGCACACTGGCCTCCGCAAGGACTCCCAGCCCCATCCAGGAGCTTCCCCGAGGTAGCTGTGTTAGTCTGTTGCTGCAAAATAGTCCAAGAGTTCAAATAGCACCTTTAAGACTAACAAATAGCACCTTTAAGACTAACCTTTAAGACTAAGACTAACTGAGTGGTGGGTGTGGCCTTATGACACACTTCCGGTGATGTCAGGGGGTGTGGCATATGCTAATGAGTTATGCTAATGAGTTCCCCTAGCTCTTTTTCTCCGAAACGACCCCTGCTAATGACCAATCCAAGCAACCCCGTCATCAACTATTTTAGGCAGCAATACCTTTAGACATAGTCAAACTTGCACTCACTTGCGGAAAGACTTTGGCGTTCCCAAATCTGCTAGCCTGAAAGAGACGTAAGGTCATTATTAAACACAACTCTTGTGCCACAGTCCAAAATAAAGTGCTAGGCATTGGCTAGATGTTCACATTTCCGAATAAAACGGCAGGGATGCATCCGTGGCCTGCAACTGAGAAGACTTCTGTAACTGCCATTGCGTTTCTAGGCTTCTAGGCTTTATTGACTGCCCCCACCAAGATTTGTCAATGACGCTCTGAGAGAAGCACCTGTCAAATTCTCCTTCTTCTTCCTGCAAATGGTCCAGGGGAGGCGATGGGAAATCGAAAACGGTGTTCGGCGTGCGAGGTGTACCATCCACAGCGTCACTACAAGACGAAGGTTCGCCAACTGGCTTCGATCCTAAAAAATAGGGGGGGGGGGGAGAGGAGATTAAAGCAGCGTTTCTTAAATGTTAAAAGTAACACCCAGAGCTCTTTTTGTAGCAGGAACTCCTTTGCATATTAGGCGACACACCCCTAATGTAGCCAATCCTCCAAGAGCTTACAGAGCTCTTCTTACAGGGGCTACTGTCAGCTCTTGGAAGATTGGCTACATCAGGGGCCTGTGACCTAATATGCAAAGGAGTTCCTGCTACAACTGGCTAGATGAAGAAGAAGAAGAGATTAGATTTATACCCCACCCTTCACTCGGAGTCTCAGAGCGGCTTACAAACTCCTTTCCCTTCCCCTCCCCACAACAGATGCCCTGGTAGGTGGGGCTGAGAGAGCTCAGAGAGAACTGTCCTTGAGAGAACAGCTCTGACAGAACTATGGCTTGCCCAAGGTCATCCAGCCAGGTGCAAGTGGAGGAGTGGGGAATCAAACCTGGTTCTCCCATATTACAGTCTGCGCACTTAACCACTGCACCAAACTGGCTCCTGTATCTCCCACCATGCCTCTTCTGTGCCACTTCATCTCCAGCAAGAGGAAACGTAGACAGTAGCACTTAGGGACTTGCAACCCCAAGAGATTTTTGTAGTCACAAACATCGGTGATGATTTAACTTTTTGTCTTCAGCATCGATGCTGTACAGCAAGCACTTCCCACCCTCAGTGTACTTTTAAAATGATGTGTTATGTTTTTACCTGTTTCGCTGTCCTTACTTCCTTCCGGGGAAGAGAAAGTCCCAGCAGCTAGTGGGGACATGGGGTTAGCAGGGGGGTAGGCGACATCCGCGCTTTCGCTGGACCCGCTCTGGCGCATCTTTCCAGAATCTGGTGGCTCTGGGCTGACCGAAGAAGGCGTCGATAAGTGCTTTGGGTGGCGCTGCTTTTGCAATTCCATGGCTCTGCCTACTGGAGAGAGACGGTGAGAAATCAGCTGTGTTGCTCTAATTTGAATAATCCACTAGATCTTGAAAATCCAGGCCAGAATAACCTCACTTTTTTTTAGTTACAAAAAGACATGTTTCAAATAAAGTGTAGCAAACAGAAGAGAGTTCATTCTTAGCATGTGCCGTGATAATTGGGGATAGAAGGAGAGCTTGAGTAGCAACATTTATCAGGTAAGGGGGGAGAGCATGAAGAGCAACATTTATCTTTTGACGAAATGCAGAATGCCGGCTAGAAAAGGAACATTTCTCTCCCTCTGACATACTTGCATAGCTGTCATGGCGGCTTGGTCTCCTTGGGGGTCCCAGGATATTGGGGAAGACTCTCCTCTTCTTTTCGTCTCCTTCCTTCTCCTTCTTAATACTTTGCTTATAGTTGAAAAGGAAACAAAAGAGAAGGGATGTGAAGGCAAGTCTTCCCTGCACAGTCCTACAAATGATGCTTTCGTTAACCTTTCAAAAGTGTAGGCTGTCTTTGCAAGGGTCTTACAATTCCGCCCTTCTGTTTGCTCAGTGTTTCCCATCAATACTTTAAGTATAGGGGGAAAGGGAGCTTTGGGTACAAACAGAAGCTTGCCTGGCCCAAGACATTACAGTACCAACACAGGACATCCTCTCATTCATAAACCTGTGAAGTTCTCCTATGAAGTCCAACTGAACAGGAGCTGCAGAAGAGCCCTGCTCCCATAATGACACCGTGCACATACTGCAGAGACTCATGGCAGAGCTGCCTCCACCCAGATGTGGCAGAAGAAAGCGAATCGCAGGAAGGACAGTGCTGCTGCTAAGACAGCAACCTCAAGCCTCTCAGATAGGTCAAGTGTTGTTGATCCCTGCTGTTCAGTTGAGCATGGTGCTTCAGATCTCAGGGGTGTGCATGCGCACGTGCATGTGTGTGTGTGCGTGCGTGTGTGTGTGAGTGCTGTCACTTCCAACTTATGGCAACCCTACAAATTAAGGTCCTCCAAAATGTCCCCTCATTAACAGCCTTGCTCAGGTCTTGCAAACCGAGTCAATCCATCTCACGTTTGGTCTTCCCCTTTTCCTGCTGCCTTCAACTTTCCCTTTTGTTGTTCAGTCGCACAGTCGAGTCCGACTCTTCATGACCCCATGGACCAGATCCCGCCAGGCCCTCCTGTCTTCTGCCGTCCTCTGAAGTTGGCTCAATTTCATGTTCGTTGCATCGATGACACTGTCTAACCATCGCATCCTTTGCCGTCCCCGTCTTCTTTGACCTTCAATCTTTCCCAGCATCAGGGTCTTCTCCAGTGAGTACTCCCTTCTCATTTGGTGGCCAAAGTATTTGAGCTTCAGCTTCATTATCTGGCCTTCCAGAAGATCAATTTTTTTTCCTAGCATCGTGTTTTCCAGTGATGCTCATAATGTGATCAAAGCACAATAGCCTCAGTTTTGTAATTTTAGCTTCTAGGGAGACTTCAGGCTTGATCTGGTCTAGAAGCCAGTCATTTGTCTTTTGGGGAGGTCCACAGTATCTGTAAAACTCCTCCCTCTGACACCACATTTCAAATGAATCAACCTCCTTCCTGTCAGTGTTCTTCATTCTCCAACTCTCACACTCATACAAAGTAATGGGGAATACTACAGCATGAAATGAAATTAAAAGACGCCTGCTCCTTGGGAGGAAAGCGATGGCAAACCTAGACAGCATAATAAAAAGTAGAGACATCACCCTGCCAACAAAAGTCCGTATGGTCAAAGCAATGGTATTCCCAGTAGTCATGTATGGCTGCGAGAGTTGGACTATAAGGACAACCGAGTGCCGAAGAATAGATGCTTTCGAATTATGGTGCTGGCGAAGAGTCTTGAGAGTCCCCTGGACTGCAAGAAGACCAAATCAGTCAATCCTAAAAGAAATCAACCCTGACTGTTCCCTGGAAGGCCAGTTACTGAAGCTGAAGCTCAAATGCTTTGGCCACCAAATGAGAAAGGAGCACTTGCTGGAGAAGACCCTGATGCTGGGAAAGACTGAAGGTCAAAGAAGAAGAGGACGGCAGATGTGGTTAGACAGTGTTATCGATGCAACAAACAAGAAATTAAGCAAACTCCGGAGCACGACGGAGGACAGGAGGGCCTGGCGTGATGTGGTCCATGGGGTCGCGAAGAGTCGGACTCAACTGTGCAACTGAACAACAAAACAGCATGAATTAACTTGATCTTGGTCGCCAGTGACGCATCCCTACACTTAAGTATCTTTTAAAGCTCCTTCATGGTTGCTCTCCCAACCTTTTGATTTCTTGGTTGCAGCCTCCCTTTTGGTTGATGATGGAGCCAAGGAACATACTCTCAGGCGTATGTAGATAACTGAAATGACTGTCCGAACATGATCGGCCGCACACACTCAAGAATCCCACACTGGTTTCAACGCAGCTTGCTTTCCTCTCGAGGATAAAAGTTCCATATCCCCAGTTGTGTTCCCTCTAAGCTGAGTTAGCGTGAGCTAGCTCACAATTTTTTAGCCTCCGGCTCTCACATTTTTGTCTTAGCTCAGGAAAGATGGCTCCAGAGCAAACTAATCTATGCAGCAGCCGAATGGCTTGCTCACAACTTTAATGCCGGTAGCTCATAAAGTAGAATTTTTGCTCACAAGACTCCACAGCTTAGAGGGAGCATTGGCCAGGAAGTTCACTGAGCAACCTTGGGCAGGTCACACAGGTAGCCTACCCTACCCTACAGGGTTGTTATGAAATACGGGGCAGGAGGAGAGACTGGGGGTTGGCCACCTCTTATCAGCTTGGACTGGTATTCTGACTAAAGACACATCACCATTACCTTGATCTTTGGCAGGAACCCGATCCGCCCCCGCTTGTGATCTAGGTTCCGGGGCTCTTTGACTTTTACACCGAGGTGTTTCATGTAGCTAAGAACAACATACTGCACAGCTGAACTGTAGAAAAGATCAAACAGAACAACATTTAAAGGACGCAGACATTAGTATTGGTGGATGGGGTGGGGAGACGGCAGCTCAGCAAATATTGTGGGGTTTTTTTCCCCTTTATTCAAATTGTTTCTCTGGTACAGGTACAGCCACTTAGATACCAACAAGCCACTATAGCTTGGTAAGATCCCTCTCAGAGATTATGCATTTCCTCGGTGATGTGGGTTTCCTAGAGAAATTGAAATCAGAATTCTGTTTCCAGAGAACTTTAAGCAGTCGGGCTAGAACAGATAAAAGGAAGTCCTTCTTCATCCAAAGATTAACACATGGAATTCACTGCCACAGGAGGTGGCGGCGGCTACAAGCATGGACGGCTTCTAGAGGGAATTGGATGAACATCTGGAGCAGAGGTCCATCAGTGTCTATTGGCCACAAGGTATAGATAGGAACTGTCAGTCTGGGGCAAGGCCACCTAAGAAAATTCCCTCATATATGAGTTTCCTTACATCCCCTAGATCTAGATATGTCTTCACGCTTGCTAGGTTTAATGTTTTTCCAACTGTAGAACTAAGTGGCCGTTTTGCTAAAATACAGTACTCAAATAGATTGTGTGATTGTGGATCAGGTGCAATAGAGACCTTAGATCATCTTATGTTATTTTGCCACCAGTGGATTGACCCCCAGATCCTGTTGGATTACTCCTGTTTTACAAAGACATCACCTCTTTATGGAACCCTGGGTGATAACCACACTCCTAGCAGATGAGGACCCTGAAACAACTCGCTTGGTGGCAAAATATCTTTTGATAGTGTTATTTTTAAAGCGGCTTTGAAATGTTATAAGTAGTTGTATGTATATAATTTTAAAATTTTAAAACTAATGTCCATAATATCATGGGATTTTATAGAATTCACTGAAGTTTATAAAATGTGGTCTGATAATACTGTTCGAGAGTATGTTTACTAGCTTTTATTGTAAAGACGTTTGGTCTAAACTATCTTGTAATTATATGTAATGCATTTTATAGTTGCTGTTTGTATGTTTGGCTTAAGACCTCGGGTCAATGAAGCTAATAAATGAAATGGAGTCTGGGGCAAGTAATGCTCTGTATTCTTGGTGCCTGGGGAGGCTTCAAGAGGGAATTGGATAAACATATGGAGCAGAGGTCTATCAATGGCTATTAGCCACGACGTATAGATAGGAGCTCTTGGTGATGCTCTGTATTCTTGGTGCTTGGGGGGGGGGCAGGAGTGGGAGGGCTTCTAGTGTTCGGGCCCCACTGGTGGACCTCCTGATGGCACCTGGTATTTTTGGCCACCGTGTGACAGAGTGTTGGACTGGATGGGCCATTGGCCTGATCCAACATTGGCTTCTCTGATGTTCTTATGTTCTTAAGCAAAAGTTTCTGATGCCCCAAATATAGTGTGACTTGCTTCAGCATATTTCTTTTTTACTTATTTTTAGAAGATAAAATGTGGAGAATACCTCAAATTAATTTTATGTTTCTATGGGGAAGTAACTGAAGAAGTGAGCAGGGACTCACGAAAGCCCATAGGCTGCCACAGATTTTGTTAGAAAGACAAGGTGCTATTGGACTCTTGCTCTTTTCTACTGCTACAGGAAGACTCATCCTCTACAGAGAAATAAAGTATTAGAAAGTTGTCTGCCCTGTATCTCTGATTCCATTATTTTAAAGACCTTGTGCAGCAACTGGAAATTCAGAGAATACCTAGGCAGTGATGTAAGAAGAGAATTCAAAGCTACTGAAATGAATTTTTTCCAAAATCTAGTTGAGCTGAAACTTCACAGCACCACCAAAGCACTTTTGAAGCTACAGAAAAGGAGAGGGTACACCTCTCTGTGCTTTACATGCTTTACACATTGATGGCCCCAGGTTCAATCCCTCACATCTACAGTTAAGCGGACAACAGGTGGCAGGGTTGGGTAACACTGCTGCCTGCGTCTCTGGAGAGTCACTGCTCTTCAGAGTACAGGACACAGAGCTGGATCATATGAGAGAGGATTCTGTAACAGAAACGATAAGATCGTGTTTGCAAACATAGCCAGTAGAGGGCACCCTCAACCCACTCAGCACACATGAGCTCTGGAGGACTTTGCAGAAGCGTGACCAATACACTACAAAAAACCCTGTTCTGTTACCTCTTCTCTTCTTCAACGGGCTGGGACGACACCCTGCAAAGGAAAGAAGGAGACTCAGCAAATCAGGTGCCATTACAACCACTGTGTGCTTTGTTCTGTTGTGTGCTTCTGTTACTCTTGACTTGGTATCGGTCAAGGGATGGATGGATGGTCCCCGTCAGGCCCAGCTGTTACAGGAGGGAGATCTCTCTTGAATCAGGATAGTCTCCTCTTTCTTTCATCCTCACAACAACCCCACAAGGTAGGTTAGGCTGAGGGTGTGCGACTGGCCCGGGGTCTACCAGGAGTGGGAATCTAAACCTGGTTCTCCCAGATTCTAGTCCGACATGCTAACCACTACATCACGCCGGCCCTCACAAGTTTGCCAAGATCCTCTATTGCCTTCCAATTCACTTCTGCTTATGGCTGCAACACCACTCCCATTAACTCAGGTGTCCCCAAACTTCTTGAGCCTACAGGTACCTTTGAAATCCTGACATAGCATGGTGGGCGCAACCACAAAATGGCTGCTGCATGAGGCGGAGCCAGCTGCAAAATGGCTGCCACAGCTTACCTTCGGTAACACAGTGAAGAACCTTGTGCTGTGGTGGCAGCCCCCGCCAATGCAACATGGTTTTTAAAAAAAATCTGAACAGCCAATCAAATCTCTAATGGTCAATCACTCCGGGCTAAAGCTCCATCCATCAACAGGGATGCGGTCCACGAATCTGTACCAGGAGAGATGCTGGCATTGCATTGACTGTCGAGATTTATACTGGGCAGTGCGGATTCATGGACCGCATCCTCTATCCCTGTTGATGGATGGAGCTTTAGCCCGGTGAGGCAGTTTCCTGCACAGCCTGGTCACAACTGAATAGAGCTGTGACTGAGTTCATCAAGCTGCTTCCCCTGCCTAGAGGAGAGAGGGCAACTGCACCCACCCACATCCGTCATACTCACAACACTTCTTCAATTTTGGTAAGGATCTGCTCGGCACAGGCTCGCTCCCTCTCCAGCGTGGCCCGGTCACGAAAGCGTTCCGCATCCAGCCTGGTCAACTCCCCTTCGGCCAGAGTCAGTCCCATGCTGCGTTTTTGTCTGAGTATAGGGAAGGGGGAGGGAGAGCAAAGAGGACGAATGTCACTCTTTCGTCACTCGGGGAAGTCAATGTGTGCCTTAAGAGCAAGCAATTCTACCTGCGCGGCTATCAAACAGTTTCGTGCTTTTGTTTAGCCTGCCCGCTTCGAATTGACTGTGTTTAAACTCGAGAGTTGAGGATATGACTTCTGTGAAGCTGTGGCTATCACGTCAGTATATTTAATGATGAACAAACAATAGAAGATGCAATTGTTGGTGTGGTCCTGTTCAGAGGAAGTCCTCACGAAACGAAATGCTATTCCAGAGAACTTCGTCAGCTGCATAAACAGCTTCCAGCACCTCGTGAGTCATGTTGCAGAAAGCACCAGTTAACAGCCGTTTCAAACTAAGCTGCACAAACTCCACAGCTACAACACCACAAAGTCCATTTTTGAGACCCAGAGTGGTGAACCACTTAAGGAGAGGGGCTGAGGCTCAGTGGTAGAGCATCTGCTCGGCATGCAGAAAGTACCGGCATCTCGAGTTAAAAGGAGCAGGTGGGATATGATGTGAAAGACCTTGGCCTGAGACCCTGGAGAGCTGCTGCCAGTCTGAGTGGACAGTACTGACCCTTGATGGATCAAGGGTCTGATTCAGTATAAAGAAAGCCCCTGGTGGGGGTGGTGTTAGCCGATGAACGGAAGGTCTGCGCGTAAGATCAAAAGCCGAGAGAGATCTACGCAGCATCAAAGTAGCCTGCAATGGGCCATTCCGGCCAGACGGTGGCAGTGCTGCGCTGCAACTGAGAAAAATGCTGATGACATCAAGTGACGCCGAGTGAGAATGCCGCTGGAACACGTCTGAAGCTTACAGCTGACCAAACTCCCTGTCGACTGCGAAAATGTGTGTGATTTAAAAAGATATATGTTGTCCTCCCTTACCCCTATCATTGTTAGTCCCTTGTGAATACATGAGTAACTGTAAATCGCTCAGAGCCGGCAGCTCTGCAAGGATTGAGCAATCAATAAATTGAAAGATTATTATTATTATTATTATTATGTTCCACAATGAACTGCAGTACATCACAGACCATTATTTTTTGGAGAGGAGAAGCAGAAGAACTGATGGCTGAGAGACCTGGTGTCATGGCAGAGTACCCTGTGCCCATGGCTAAGCAGGCTGTTTAGTCACCAGGTGTGCACACAGCAATCTCGATCCCAGGCTGTACTGTAAGACCTGGTTATCAAGTGGTCACTCGGCAATAAGCTGCACAGAAACGAATGACCACACTACAAGACTACATAGGCCTGTTTGATGACTTCCCAATAAAGACAGTGCATTTAAAAATGAGGAAGGTGAAAACCTTCAGCTGATCAGGCTGAAGCCAGAAAACCAGAAAGTGGTTTTAGTCTCTTTAACTTCACTGCTGCTAACTAAGGAAGATTTAGAGGGCAAACAGAATTGTTAGTCGCTGTAGATTTTCCGGGTTGTGCGGCCGTGGTCTTGGCATTGTAGGACCTGACGTTTTGCCAGTAACTGTGATTGGCATCCTCAGAGGTATAACACAGAAAGATGGAGTACTCTCTGTGTCAAGGTGAGAAGAAAAATGGTAGGCAGGTAATTTATATCTACTCCAGAAGGTGGGGTAGGGCTGAGTCGTTATCTTGTCGGAGTTCCCCAGGCTGTGAACATGCTAATACAGGAGCTTTCCTGAGAAGGTTCTTTTGTATATGGATTGTTTCCTGAGGAGGTTTTTACTTGAGAACACTGTGGCAACACAATCAAAGAAGGCAATTCTTGGACCAAAAGTCTATACTTTAGAATCACTGAGCAAGTGATTGCACTTTTAAAGATCTCATTTGGATATTTATTGTGTGCCTGGTGGTTTTATTCTGGAACAACTTGTTTTCTGGTCCATACTGAATTTATATTTTGTATCCATTCTGATTGTGTCTACATGATTGTATTATATTTATATAGCCATCTTGCCACTCAATTGTTTGACCTCTGAGAAAGGCCTATGCAGGCCGAAATGTGTCAGGTCATGTTTTTAAGCCTGTGTGTATTGCCATGTTATTTATATATTTGATGTGAATGAGCCCTTATAAATGTTTTAAAATTTGTAATTAATAAATACATGTATCTTTTCTACAATGCCAAGACCACAGCCACAAAACCCGGAAAATCTACAGCAACTAATGAACTCCGGCTGTGAAAGTCTTCGACAACAAACAGAATTGTCTTTCTGTGTCTCGTTTTTAAATTAAAAAAACAACAAGAGGAAGGGCTGAAGTCACACAAGGGAGAGGCCAAACTGTTCATGCAGTGCTAGAATCAAGAAGGTCCTGCTACAGTGGTGTATGCAAATACACTCCCATACCTGAAACACAGACGGCTGCAGGGAAGAGCCAGAGTTATGCATGGAAGCTAACAGAAAGCCAAGTGACCCCTAGAACCACTTACCTAAAATCTTCAAGGTGCCTCTGGATCTCAGGAAAGACTTTCTCTTGCATAGTTTGGATATAATGGCGATGTAGCTCTTCGGGAATTAATTCTAATCTTCTTTTCTCTACAGGATAAGGAGAAAGCAGACTGGTAGGTAAAAAAACAACAACATCAGCCTCAGTTACACTGCTGAGGCCACTGCTTCACATCCTGCAGCATGAATTTATTACGTTTATTGTACTAAAAACATTTGCAGAATGCCTTTCCTGTGAGGCTACTGACAGATTTCAGAGGACCATAGTTCACTCCCAGACCAGTGGCTGAATGATTTAGTATCTCACAGCATGGCTTGCATTATAAAGACATCAGCATTGTCCCCCTGGCCCCCCTAACTGAACATTCATTCTGTGACCCACACACCCCGACTGTCTCAAATAGGCACAGAGCCTCTTTCAGCATAGGAGTCTCTCAAAAATATTCTGTCATGCAAAATTTAAAACATCTTTACCTAGATCTACAGAAATTTCATCCGGAACTGGGACCTTCAGATTCTGCAATAATAAAAGCACAGCTGAAAAGAACTGGAATAAAAATAACTTCATTTCTTCTGTGGACTCAGACTAGGCATTTGCTTCACTCTCTCGCACTCCCTCCTCCAAAACAGGCCCCAAGTCACATTCTAGGGAGTATGTGTGAGTGCCCATGTGCATGGGGGGGGGGGGGGGGGGACACCACAAACACTTTGACGCTCACAGTTTCTTGGAGGAAGACCATTGGGCTTTAGAACCATGGATAAAAATGAGTCTACCTTAAACATTTGAGGGGGTGAGTTTACTTGACTGCAGTCAAGTGAGTGATCTGCTGACCAGCCCATCAGCTTTGTTCTGGTTGGCTGGATCCCGTGATTTGTCTGACCAGTGGTGGGAAAGTGTGCCCCAATGAGAGTCAGCCATGGAGAAGAGATGCCCTTCTACAAGAACGATTGGGAGTGTGATATATACTGTGGTGTACAGCTTATTTTATGTAGGATCCTATTATGTTATGTAGGATCCTATTATATTATATTATTATATTATTATTTTATGTAGGATCCAGCCCCACTGGAGGACCTCCTGATGGCACCTGGTATTTCTGGCCACTGTGTGACAGAGTGTAGGACTAGATGGGCCTTTGGCCTGATCCAACATTGGCTTCTCTTATGTTCTTATATAATTTCTGAACCATTTAACATGTCACGCTAATATTTGTGATATGCTTCAGTTTCTTTCTGGTGGTTCCAGACTTAGAAACACAGATTCACAGAGCTGGAAGGGGCCATACAGGCCATGTAGTCCACCTCCCTGCTCAGTGCAGGATTAACCTAAAGCATCCCTGACAAGTATTTGTCCAGCCGCTGCTTGCAGACTGCATTGTTCACTGGCCGTCCCATTCTGTTGATTGTGCTGTCTCACTACATGTAATCTGCCTTGTGTCCCTGCGAGACAGGCAGATTATAAAGCGTTTGGAGCGTTTGGTTTCAGAGCACTTACGACACTCAAAACCTCAATGACCTTCCTTCAAGACCATCAGGTCAAGGAGAACAAGGCACAACTAGCTGCGATTAGACAGAGGCACGGAGAGATCAGTCGTTTATCTGCTTGGAGACCTACCGCTGCTCGCTCCAGGAAGAACTGATTAAACTCTGTGAAAACGCGACGAGTCTCTTTGGAGTTGGTCTGCTTGTACAAGTCCGCAAAAAGATAGCAAAGCTGTAGCAGGGAGGAAAAAGTTGTCACAGTATAGGAAGCACAGGGAGAAGAACACAGCACTACAGGTAAATGTCCCCTCTAGACTTCCGGTGGTATTTTCAAAGGACTGACTTGGAATGGGCTTGGAACGGAACTCCTCTACTCTCTTTGTTTCCTTAAAGGTAAAGGTAAAGGTTCCCTTGCTCGAAAGCCAGTCGAATCCGACTCTAGGGTTGCGGTGCTCATCTCCGTTTCAAAGCCGAAGAGCCAGCGCTGTCCGAAGACGTTTCCGTGGTCATGTGGCCGGCATGACTCAACACCAAGGCGCACGGAATGCTGTTACCTTCCCACCGAAGTGGTACCTATTTATCTACTTGCAATTTTTTGCTTTCGAACTGCTAGGTTGGCAGGAGCTGGAACTAAAGATGGGAGCTCACTCCATCATGCTGCACCCGGGTCTTGAACTGCTGAACTACTTTCCTTATTTTTCCTTAGAGTTTCCTTATGTTTCCTTAGAGGGACCCAGTTAAGACAAAGATCAAGAGGAGGTAAACACTAACAATAAGTTGTTGCTTAACTCTGTGCAACATGTATAATTTCAGCGGGAAACACCCCCCCCCCCAGAGTTCCCTCCACCCAGTTACATTTGCTGCTGCGTTAGCAGTGTCTAGCGCTGTGCTACGTGGGGATACAGCATACATTACACCCACACTGTAGGAATGCTTGTAAGCTGACACCCTTACCAGTGAAGCAGGGTCAAATTGGGACACAACATGATGCAGGAAGACAGCCAGGTGAGCCGGACGAGTTTTCAGCAACTCTATGTTTTGGAAACAGCTGCTGCACTGCCCGTTCATCTGTACAGAGAGATGAGAGGTCATCTGAAACAGCCCCTAGCAGATGCGCGGTCCCCTATTTTGCCACTCAGGAAAACTTAGACGCAAGTTTGCTTCCTGTTCTTTTCATGCCAGTCTGTAGTTTTAACTTAAAGGCAGTTCTAATTAAATATAAATTTGGAACAAATTACATCTCTCCCCCAATCCATGAAGGCGCAGTCAGCCAAAATGCCTTGAAAGATTTTTGCTGAATTAGTGCACTAGTAGTGCTAAAAACTAATTAAGCAAGAAAAGTCAATAAGACCAATAAGTTCTGCCAGGTCACAAATTAGTGTGCTGAGAAAGGAGGGGGCAGCTATCAATGCAGATTCCCAAAAGTAATTATTGCTGTTTAAGGTCAACCTTATCAATGAATTCCCTTAATGGGTTTTAGTAGCTGAAGTTTGAGCACTTTTCTGTTGAAAGGTGACCCATAAATACCCTAAACAAACAAAACAGGTTTTCCGCGGCAAACTCTTTACCCTCTCAAAAGCTGTGAGCAATGGGAAAAGATCGCAGCACTACAGTACTTGGAGGCAAAGCAATCAGCAGAGAATCTTTAAAACCTTCACCTGCTCATGTTCAGCGTCGAAGTCATCGTCTTCGGCTCCTATGATTGGAGGTGCTATGCGAGAGGAGGGACTTCCGATACTGGACTGAGAATCCTGGAGTTGTCAAATGAAGAAAAATAGGTCATTACTCTCAGGGTTCTTTTTGTAGAAAAAGCCCAGCAGGAACTCATTTGCATAATAGGCCACACCCAACAGCAGAAACTCATTAGCATATTAGGCCACACCCCTGACAGCACAGCTCATTAGCACATTAGGCCGCACCCCCATGATATCAGAAGTGTGGTTATCCAGCCACACCCACCTTTTGCTTCTTATTCTGTTTACCTTGTTTGTTGTCCAAACCAGGGCTTTTTTGTAGCAGGAACTCCTTTGCATGTTAGGCCACACACCCCTAATGTAGCCAATCCTAATGAGTTCCTGCTGTTGGGTGTGGCCTATTATGCTAATGAGTTCCTGCTGGGCGTGGCCAACTCGGGAGCCAGCCGGAACTCCGTTCCTGTGCGTTCCTGCCCAAAAATAGCCCTGATTACTCTGATTAAACTTTCTGCCTGCCGGAGTAAGCAACAATGCGTACAGGAAAAGCTTTGTTATCTGGCACTTGATTATCCAGGAGGCTCAGTTAGCCAGCGCCATCCAGTGGGCAAATTCCTCCCCTTCAGCCACCACACCGCTGAGGTTTTGGGTGTGCCTGTGTCCCACTCCCACCTTTCCAGCCAGCCAGCTTGATGCCTCTGGCCACTGCTGGGCTTTTGACAGCAGGTGCTACCAGCTGGTGACATCCTTGGGTGCCTCTGCCAGCAGACTCTCATGCAGCTGGCTCACCTGTCGCCTTATGAGTAGGATGGCTCTATAGTTCGGGGTGGGGAAGAGAAGGTGGGGGGAGCTGTCACCATGGTGTTCCCAAGGGGGTGGGCCTTGGTTGCTGAGATAGGAGGCAGCATAGAGCAATAAGCTTGAGGATCCAGCAACCCCTACTCCCCATGAGTGCTGGCTAACAAAGCTTTGGCTGTAAACTGAAATAACATATTTTTAATTTTGGCAGTTAAGGCTTTTAAAGCCAACGTCATTTCCAGTGCATTTGTTAGCATCATTGTCCTTTACGATGCTTCATTTGTTCAACGTTATGCACACTGTGTTCCACAAGAAGGACCAGTGCAACAGTACTCGGAACCAAAAGTTCACACCAAGCGTCTGCAAGCAGAGTTCCTCAAATCCATTCCTTCAGAACCCCTCGTTTCCTCTGAACTGCTCCTTTTGCACAATCTGTTCTCAATAAGATTTGGGACACCACCCCACAGATAACGCTTTATCAAAGATCTACGTGGTGCACAGAGACGGCACAGAAGAATGTGGCTGAGAGCAACAAGAGGAAAGAATCGGGATACAGAAGTGTCTGCTCTTGAATCCAGGAAACCTTTACAGACACCCCCCCCAATATTTTTAATACAATCTCATGAAGAATGCACATATATTTCTGTCATGAAAAAAACCCCAACATTTTCAGGTGTTTGGTCAGATATTATATACTGTGTAGAACTGTGGAAGATGAGCTAAAAAGTCAGTGCAATGAAAGCCACATGCTCACTGTTTTATAGTACCTTCCTAGTGTACGTTACCCTTCTACAATGTGATACTGAAATAAAAAGGTAAAGGTTCCCTTGCTCAAAAGCCAGTCGAGTCCGACTCTAGGGTTGCGGTGCTCATCTCCGTTTCAAAGCCGAAGAGCCAGCGCTGTCCGAAGACGTTTCCGTGGTCATGTGGCCGGCATGATTAAACACCAAGGCGCACGGAACGCTGTTCCCTTCCCACCAAAGTGGTACCTATTTATCTACTTGCAATTTCTTGCTTTCAAACTGCTAGGTTGGCAGGAGCTGGAACTAGAGACGGCAGCTCACTCCGTCATGCGGCACCCGGGTCTCGAACTGCTGAATGACCGACCTTCCATAGCCTGCAGTTCATTTGAGCCACCGCAGCGCCACTGAAATACTGAAATACTAAACTATTTGTCGTCTGAAGCCTGAATGGATCTTCTACACCAATTCTCTTCCTCATGACAAAATGCCAGTTCTCTCCCCCTTGTCTGTCAAAGTGGAATTTGGCCCAAGCATGACTCATGAAGTTGCCTCTCGAGTTCAAGGGCGCTACAGGGAAAAGCAGAAAACACTTGAGGCCCCCTTATCTCCCAAGTCCAAAGGCGGGAGGGGCGCTGACTCTTCAAAGCTCATACCCTGAAGATCTTGCTCTCTAAGGTGCCGCTTGTTTACTGCAGATACCACTTGAGGCTCCCATTCTTGGCCACTAAGATCTATATCACAGACGTGCCTGCCAGTGATTCAGCGCGCGCACACAAGGCTGAGTCAGACCATTATTCCACCTGCAGTAGTGTTGGCTACGACTGGCAGCCGTTTCCCACGTGATCAGGCAAAGGGCTTTCCCTGCCCTGCCTGGGATCTTGTAACTAGAGACGCAAGGGAGTGAACCGCAGACGTTCAGTACAGGCTCCTTCCGCTAACCTCAGCTGCCTTTACCCCTCAAGCTTGTGCGGAGGGATGATTTTCAGCCGTCTGCAAATAAGACGTTTGGGAATGCTTAAGAAAGACCAATGGAAATCTAGTTCCTGACACAAACTTTCAGTGCCTCGATTGTTAAGCAGCCTCAGTTTCCACCAAAATGCAACTACATTACAGTGCAGTAGCAACTTTTTATTTTTGCTGTTAAGTCACAGCTGACTTACGGCGTTTCCAAGGCAGGGTTTCCAAGGCAAGATACACTCGGAGGTGGTATGCCATTGCCTGCCTCTGCTTTGCAACCCTGGACTTCCATGGAGGTCTGGCATTCAAATACTAGCCAGGGCCGACCCTCCCTGCTTACCTTCCGAGATCTGATGAGGTCAGACTAGCCTGGGCTGTCCAAATCAGGGCAGTGGTACTTTAGAGACCAACAAGATTTTGAGGGTAGAAGCTTTCAAGAGTCAACATTTCCTTTGTCAGATACAAGTAGGAACGGAGATCCCCGAGTCCTTATATCCCAAGTCCAAAGGTAGCAGGGGGTGCTGACTCTTGAAAGCTTATACCTTGAAGATCTTAAGAACATAAGAGAAGCCAATGTTGGATCAGGCCAATGGCCCATCCAGTCCAACAGTATGTGTCACACAGTGGCCAGAACCCAGGTGACGTCAGGAGGTCCACCAGCAGGGCCAGAAAAGAAACAGTGGCCAGCAGTGGGGCCAGGACACTAGAAGCCTTCCCACTGTTCTCCCCCCCCCCAAAGACCAAGAATACAGAGCATCACTTGCCCCAGCCTGAGAGTTCCTATCTATACCTTGTGGCTAATAGCCACTGATGGACCTCTGCTCCATATGCCTATCTAATTCCCTTTTGAAGCCGTCCATGCTTGTAGCCACCACCACTTCCTGTGGCAGTGAATTCCATGGGTTAATCACTCTTTGGGTGAAGAAGGACTTCCTTTTATCCGTTCTAACCCGACTGCTCAGCAATTTCATGGAGTGCCCACAAGTTCTTGTCTTGTGAGGAAGGGAGAAAAGTACTTCTTTCTCAACCTGCTCTATCCCATGCATAATCTTATAAACCTCGATCATTTCAACCCTCAGCCGTCGTTTCTCCAAGCTAAAGAGCCCCAAGCGTTTTAACCTTTCTTCATAGGGAAAGTGTTCCAACCCTTTTATCATTCTAGTGGCCCTTTTCTGCACTTTCTTGGTCTCTAAGGTGCTGCTGGACTCAAATCTGGTTTGTCTACTCCAAATACCAACATAGCTACCCTCTAAAACTACAAAAAAAAAATCAGTAACTGACACTGAAAAGACATCTGCAGCCTCAAGATTCAAGACTAATTAGCACCCAAATGGGGGGAAAATCATGGGAAAAGCAGTGGCTGTCAACAGAAAAACTACCACAAAAGCGGCCATCACAATTGTCACTGTTTCCTTACAGAGTCTTGAATCTCATTCTTCTCTGGGCTCTCCTCCAGAGAGATCCGCTCCTTCAGGCCGCTCCGGGGACTCTAGGGAGAAGGGGGAAAAAAAAACATTTCTGCTCACTGCTTGCTCAGTCAAAAAAATGGGAACTTCAGCAATAACAAACAGATGATCCACATGAATATATGTGTAGACAGTACACCAGAGAAGTCTAAACACCAGTCATTGGACATCTTGTAGTTTCCTTAGTGTGATAAACACCAGTCATTGGACATCTTGTAGTGTTATCAGGCTTAAACAGGTGTAAGCAGCCAAAAACAAACCTCACACATTAAGTTATAGGTATGTCTAATTACCGTGCCATTTTGGTTAGAAATTACTAGACAAATTGATTTTATGCTAAAATGTTGATTGAAGCTTCATGCACTTATTGCAAGACTGGGGTATACTCCTTCTTCCTGGAACGTCTTGGAAGGAAAAAGACTCTGGATCTTATTAATTTTGGTAATAGCTAAATGTATAATTCTTCAAAGGCGGAAAGCAATACTTATGCCACATACTGAAAAATGGACTGAAGCAATGTTAGACCTTGCGGTCAAGGAAAAAGTTGCATTTAGCAGACAAGAAACAAATATGAACTACCATGACACTGGGTCTGAATTTATAGACTTATTTAGATACAAAAACGTATGTTTATGGGGTTATTTACAGGATAAGAGTAGCTCATTGCTTTGAGGCCAAGCAGATTTTGTGGGGACTGTTTCTAATTGCCTATGAAAATTCTGCATCAGCAAACCTCTGTCTACCAAGGTTATGAGGCAGCACGAGGGGAAGGCCTCGGTCTCTATTCCCTGTTTGTCTGGCCCTCAAGGACAACTCATTTGGCCACTGTGTGAAACAGTATGCGGGACTATTTTTATTTATTTATTTTTAACATTTATATCCCGGCCATCCCCTAAACGGGCCCAGGCGGGTTACAACATTTCTATAAATACAATACAATTTTAAAACACATTATAAGCATATAGAATCAATAATCAGAGGTTGCCGTAGGGAGAGTCCGGCCCATTGTCAGAACCCACAGCTAACAACGAAGTACACGCATTCAGGAACGGTTATACTTTTATTGCAAAGCTACAGATGCAGTAACACAGGCACTGTTAAGAATGGCCACAGCCAGTAGAGCATAATAGGATATAGGGTATTCGTATGCACCCCTCCCCCATGGCATCGGCCAATTAGTCACCCTCCCGCGCGCGGGATAAGTCCGGCAACTGTTAGGTGGCTAAAGCTGAGAACTCGGAGTCTCTCACGGTACATAGGAGCTCTCCAGACAACACAACCTCCTCCTGCACATCTGTAGAGATAAGCATTTCAGCAAAGGCATAACAGCAGGGATAGGAATGCAATAGAAGTTCACAAGATACAGAATGAACTCCCCAACCCCCATGGCAGCATAGCTGACACCCATTGATGTAGGTAGGTATGGCCGGTTATCAGTGGGTGGGAGACAGCAGCCTCAGGGGGCCATGTGTGGATGCCCGCTACCTCAGCCAAAAGCCTGGCGGAAGAGCTCCGTCTTGCAGGCCCAGTGGAACTGAATAAGATCCCGCAGGGCCCTGATCTCAGAAGGGAGCCTATTCCACCAGGCGGGGGCCAGAGCAGAAAAAGCCCTGGCCCTGGTCGAGGCTAGGCAGACATCCTTTGGGACAGGGATTGCCAGGAGGTGTTGACTCTCAGAGCGTAATGCTCTTCGAGGCGTATATGATATAGATGGATAACTGGTCTGATCCAGCAGGCTTTCTTTTTTTCCCCTTCCTGTCAGGTTGCAGCAACTGGGGCAAACTCTGCTTAGCTTCCTCGAACTGACAAGACTGGGCTATCCTAGACTATCCAGGAGCTCAAGTCTACTTAAGTAAACCTGGGCTGCATCCACGCAGGGGCCCATCCCATGCTACTTGCTGCTGGTCCTGCCCCTCCCCTCCCCTCCTTCCTCGCCTCGCCAGTGTAGAAGCAGTGCCCAGACCAGCATCCTCCCTGCCACCCAGCGATCCCCCTCCCCATAACAGCTGAGCCTCAGTTCAGTTGTTTAAGGAAAAAAATGCCTTGGTTAAAGAAGAGGAGAGAGAGAAGAGATTGGATTTATACCCCGCCCTTCAGTACCCAAAGGTGTCTCAGAGCGGCTTACACATTCCTTTCCCTTCCCTTCCCCACAACAGACACCCTGCGAGGTAGGTGGGGCTGAGAGAGCTCTTCACAGTAACTGCTCTTATCAAGCACAGCTCTTGCCAGAACTACGGCTTGCCCAAGGTCATCCAGCAAGTGGAGGAGTGGGGAATCAAACCCGGTTCTCCCAGATTAGAGTCCGTGCACTTAACCACTACACCAAACTGGGCCAGAGGGGTGCTGGAAATGAGTGCCGCCGTTTTGGAGGCCATGCTAAACTCCACTCCCGTATTGGCTGCAAGGTAGTGTTTTCACATAGAGGCTCTGCCGGCAGGTGGCATGCCATTTCACCTTTAAGTCAGAGCAAAGACTGTTTTTCTTTCCTCTGGCTTAAAAGGGAAAGCCCCTTGCTGCTGGTCCTGCCCCTCCCCTCCCCTCCTTCCTCGCCTCGCCAGTGTAGAAGCAGTGCCCAGACCAGCATCCTCCCTGCCACCCAGCGATCCCCCTCCCCATAACAGCTGAGCCTCAGTTCAGTTGTTTAAGGAAAAAAATGCCTTGGTTAAAGAAGAGGAGAGAGATAAGAGATTGGATTTATACCCCGCCCTTCACTACCCAAAGGTGTCTCAGAGCGGCTTACACACTCCTTTCCCTTCCCGTCCCTACAACAGATACCCTGTGAGATAGGTGGGGCTGAGAGAGCTCTTCACAGAAACTGCTCTTATCAAGAACAGCTCTTATCAGAACTACGGCTTGCCCAAGGTCATCCAGCCAGGTGCAGGTGGAGGAATGGGGAATCAAACCCGGTTCTCCCAGATTAGAGTCCGCGCACTTAATCACTACACCAAACTGGGCCAGAGGGGTGCTGGAAATGAGTGCCGCCGTTTTGGAGGCCATGCTAAACTCCACTCCCGTATTGGCTGCAAGGTAGTGTTTTCACATAGAGGCTCTGCCGGCAGGTGGCATGCCATTTCACCTTTAAGTCAGAGCAAAGACTGTTTTTCTTTCCTCTGGCTTAAAAGGGAAAGCCCCGGGAATCCCACAAGCCATGCTTGAAAAGAGCACGGCATTGTGTGGAAGCTCCTAAGCAAAGCAAGGAGGAGACTGGATTTGTATCCCACCCTTCACTACCCGAAGGAGTCTCAGAGCGGCTTACAATCCCTTTCCCTTCCCCTCCCCACAACACATACCCTGTGAGGTAGGTGGGGCTGAGAGAGCTCTATTGAGAGCTGCCCTTGAGAGAACAGCTCTGAGAGAACTTGTGACTGACCCAAGGTCACACCAGCAGCTTCATGTGGAGGCGTGGGAAATCAAACCCTGTTCTCCCAGATTAGAGTCCGCACTCCTAACCACGACACCAAACTGGTATGTGGTGTCCACACGCCATGTGGAAACTACCCTGGTGAGAGTAGACTAGTAAGGAGGCAGGGAAGGAATGAAGCCAGCGGTAGCACTGGCCATCTTTAGAGAATGCCTGGACTCACTTCATGTTTAGGGAGGCCGCCTGCTGGCAGCAGCTGGCACCAGAATCAGGGTTGCTTATTTGGAAATAAATGTTTTTTAAAACTTTGTTCTGATTAATGTTTTAAAATAAACAGATTTTTTAAAAAACTGGGTAGGAAAACCTGGCAAGCACCTTGAGATGAAGTAAGTTCACTAAACTGGTGAACTTGGTGAAGTAAACTGGTAAATTGGCAACGTTCGTTCACCTAAGCCAGCCTCTTATCAGTTTACGACTAGATGCACACTCCCTTGGTGCTGGGAAGCATTCAGCTGAGCCCTAGTTGCCATATGGCACACAGGGAGGGAGGTTGGTGGGGCTCAGCACCTCTTGACACAATCCCCTGTATGAGACTTGATCTTAAAAGCCTTAAATGTCTGAGCCTAGCCAATGTTAAAGATGAACCTGCCCCATCAGCTGAAATAATACTTTTTTTAAAAAAATGTCTAAGTGCAAATTTATCATCCATGCTGGAAAAACTCCTACAGTTTTAAGTACCGGCATCACTTGTATGTGGACAAGTAATCTGGTGCTTGGGATTTTTCCATTTCTATGCATTTATAGTGGTATATGTTTTCAAAAAAACCAACCAGGAACACTTCATGCTTGTTACCAAATTACCTTAAAACTACTATTGCCTCAAGCTTTCAATACTTTTGGAAAGTGAGCAACAGCAACAAAATGATTACCTTAGTAAAAAAAAAAATTAACACGAGACGAGAGTGCTTTTAAAATTTGTCTGGCTCTCATTTCCAAAGGAAAAAAAAAACCCTAATGTATCCCCTCCCCAAGGCAATCAAGAAGCATGCCAAAGGGCCCCAAGTACAGGATTTCTTTTAAAGAATAAATGTGCTTCGGATTTTGGATATATTTTGGAAATTTTCTGAAATCTCCCTTCAGACCAATACTGGTTTTACGTGGATTCGGCTCCCGATGTGGATTACAATTAAAATTCATGCCTAAATACAAGTGCTATGTAGAAGTGTACAGTTGAGAAAGGAAGAGGGCAAGACTGTTGCTTGCTGGTCCAGCGCCATTGGTAGTTTCTTTATTGCATTTTGAGGGGCTTTTCTCACAGTCTGCACGGCCAGCCTACTTCTGCATGGTTTCGATTAAAGCCAGCAGCTGAACATTCAAAGAACAACCGTCAGCGTTCTAATGACTGCGGAGAGATTCGGTTTTGTTTTTCCCTGTACAATGAAAGAATCTTCAAACTGCAGCATCCGTCAGACCCCTGGGTTGAACACTGAGGGGTCACCTTAGTCAGATGCTAATTATAACAGAAGGAGGGAGGGAAAGATCCCACACGTTAGTCCACTATTTATTTATTCTCGCTCCTACTCTGCTGCTGTTAATGCCAAATGGGGTTAGGCATTTTAGATGCTCAAATAATGTTTTATAACATTTTTTTCTTTGTTCTAA